GCCGCGCGAGGGGAGAGCCTGGGCCGGGAAGGAGGCGCGGCCGAGGGCTCGCCACCTGGGGCCCTTCCTTGGGTGGGGAAGCCGAGCCACTTCCTTCTCACCAGGTTTGTGCTCCACAGTGGGGTGAAGATTGTCCAACAGACGCCCGCTGTGTGCCGGGCCCTGGGGGCGGGGCGGGATGGGAGGATGTGGAGATGAGCCAGGGACGCCCCTCTGCCTGAGACCAGTTCCTCTTTGACGTAGTCGAAAACCCGGGGCAGGAGTTTTCAGTTCAAGAGGGAGGGGCGTGGCTCGTTTTGGAGCATCGGTAATTAGAATGAAGTGGTGGAGGGCCATAGGGGTTCCTGGGCTTTGGGAGTAAGAGGAAAGGGAAAGTGTTGGGAGTATCACGACATCCTGCCATCCACGTTTCAAGAAAAGCTTATTCAGCACAGTTTATTGGGTGCCTACTATGTGCCAGGCTAGAATCTAATACAAAGAGGACAGAAGTTAAGCCTACCGGCATCCCAGAATCTAGAGACCTCCTTGCCTCCTGGGCAGCCTGCTTCCTTCCGTATGAGGCACAGTTAAGGCAGGATACTGCATGATGTGTATCATATGTCACAGCTTACCAGATATGCCTGTGTGGATCACCGAAACTCAAACCCATGAACAAGATTGTTTTATTTCATTTATTTCTTCAAGAGAGATTTTTTGAGCACAAATTACGGCCAGGCCCACGTAATAGGAGCTGAGGGCGGCCACCCTGCCCTTCTAATAGAAGTTAATCTAAATAAAAACTGAACAAGCACCAATAACAAGTATGCAGAATGTTATGGAAGAGAGGTGCTGGGAGATAGTAACTTGTGAATCTTTGGAAGCTTGGAGGAAGTATGTCTAACCCCAAATCTGATAAGTAAGTTATATGAATGAAGTGAAGGGTCAGGAGGTGAGGAGTAAGAGCTGATGTGAACACTGGCATGGAAAAAGCAGGGCAGTGACAGGACCAGATCTATGTTATTTGCAAGATCATTCTGGTTACTGTGTGGAGAACAGATTGGAAGTGGAGAAGAGTGGATGCGGAAAGCACCATTCCAAATTGAGCAGGGAGAGATGGTGGATATAACGTAAGTCAAGTGCATATAATAAAGTAACTAACACCTAGCACGCGCCAGGATCTGCATCAAGTGTTTTACACGTATTCCCTTGTGTGACCCTCACAACAACCCATGAGACAAGTCCTGTTTTCATCCCCGCTTTAGTGATGGAAAACCTGAAGCACAAGAGTAGATGACTTTCCTGAGATCACACAGCTAGGAAGTGGCAGAGGCAGGATTCAGTTTAGGCAGCCTAATGCAAGAGTCCATCTCTTCACCACTACGCTGTCCAGAAAAGTAGAAGGAATCATGTCATGTGTTGAACTGTATGCCCCTAAAAGACATGTTAAACTCCTAACCCTTGGTTCCTGTGAATGTGATCTTATTTGGAAATAGGATGTTTGCAGGTGATATCAAGTTAGGATGAGGTCACACTGGATAAGGATGGACACTAAACCCAATGAGGTGTCCCTGTCAGGAGAGAGATAAAGAGACACACACACCCAGGGGGAAGAAGGTCTTGAGACAACAGAGGCCGAGACTGGAGCGATACAGCCATGAGCCAAAGATTGCCAAGGATTGGCAGTAACAGCCAGAGCTAGGAGAGAGGCATGGACAGGATTACCCCTCAGAGCTCCCAAAAGGAACCAGCTCTGCCAACACCTTGGTTTTGGACTTCTGACCTCTAGAACTGTGAGAAAATAAACTTTTGGGGGGAGGGTAGTTTATTTATTCATTTTTCTTTTACTGGAGGCACTGGGGATTGAACCCAGGACCTCATGCATGCTAAGTATGCACTCTACCACTTGAGCTCTGCCCTCCCCATGAGAAAATAAACTTTTGTTGTGTTAAGCCACCCAGTTTGTGGTGCTTTGATATGGTAGCCCTAGGAAACTAATACAAATCAGGAGATATTTTAAAGTTTGAAAAGACAGGATTTACTGATGGACATTGGGAATGAGGAGAGAGGAAAAAGCAAAGGTCTTTCTTGGTTTTCTGGTGTAAGCAAATGAGTGAAGATTAATTAGTACCTTTCCTGAGGCAGAGAGCCCTGGAGGAAAATTGGCGGGGAGGAGGTAAGAAGGTGAAGAGATAATGAAATAAGTTTTGGACATGCTGAGTTTGAGATTTCTGGGAGATAATGCAAGTGGAGATGTGGAATAGTCAGTTGGACTTGAGTCCGGAGACCAGAAGCAAGAGCCAGAGTGGAGACTGAAATTTGAGATTGTCAACCACAGATGATAAATGAAGCCATATGAAGAGATGAAATTGCTCAGGGAAGGAGTAGGGTACTTTGTTGATCAGGGCAGTCCTAAAATCTCCAGTGCGTGATGTTTAGGTAGAGATAGGAGAGCTGACCGGAGAAATGATGCGAGAGCGAAACAGGGAGATGGGGAAATCTAGACAGTGGGGTTTCACTGAAGCGCCAAGGAGTATTTGAAGGAGGAGTGGAATGTTCTGACAAGCCAAGCAAGATAAAGACTGAAAGGCGTCCTAAGGGTAGCAGAGGTTGTTGGTGATTTTACAAGAGCAGCTGCAGCAGTGGGCAAAGTCCACATTGGAATGGGGTTGAGTGAGAAGTGAGTGGAAAGTGACAGAATGGAAATGGGAGGATTATCCAACTGCATCACTAAGTTCAAGGAAATGAAGAAACGATGCTGGACGGGGGTGCAGGGATATGTTTTATGGTGGTTTTGTTTTTAGGTAGGAGAGCTTGAGCATGTCTCGGCAATGACAGAACCAGCCAGGTCTCTTCAGCAAATCAGTGCCATGAGAAAAGTGGGGAGGAAGTGACCACTGAGGCAAATATACAAAATACGAGAAAGACAAAAAGAGATGTAAGGGAGATATTCATATGCAGCATGTGGGCCTTGATTGAATTCTGGCTTAAACATATCAACTGTAAAAGACATATTGGGAACATCTGATGAAATTTGAATATGGACTAGATACTAGATGATATTAAGGAATCACTGTAAATCTACAGTGTGAGGAAGATGCATACTGAAATATTTAGAAGTGAAATATTATAGCACCAGCATTTTATTTGTAAAATACTCAAGCAGAAAAAAGATGAAGCACATAAGGCAAAAATGAACAATTATTAAATCTAAGTGATAAGTTTTAAAAGTTAAGTAATTAAAGGTAAAAAAAAGAATTGCTATGGAAAGGATCTAGTAATGAGAGAAAAATGAAAGGTATAGGACAGAAGTGAGATATTTGGTAGTTCAAGGTTTCTAAGAAGGTGGATAGGGATGGGTTCTAAGGCACAGATGGAGGAGATGGTACCATACGTTCTTCATTGAAAAGGAGGAAGGATTAGCTGGTGAAATAGGAGGTTTGTAGAGTTGGTGGCAGGCAGTTTTTCTTTTTTCCTTGTAACAAATAGGCCAGTCACTGTGACCTCGGTGGGAGGGAGGTCGCAGTGAGCATGACACGGCGTCTTTGTTTTCATAGCTTAGAGTTGGATGGTAGAACAGAGTCTAATGGCAGAAAGCAAACAGTTGAGTCTAGGCTAACTTGTTTGAAGGAAGAGAATTGGGTAGGAACCACGGGAATGTAACCTCCTGGTTGAATCAGGACAGTGTCAGTTCCTAGGAAACAACATTAAAAGCTGAGTCCTGAAATAGGAATAGAAATTAGCCAATTTTTAGGTACCTTTAACACTTCCAAGAGGTGACGTGTGGGCACTTGCATATACAGGTCTGGTGCCCAGAGTGGCAATCTGGGAAGGCGTTACATGTGGGGACAAAGTAAAGCACATGTATTCTCCTTTACAGATACAGAAACTGATCTCAAAAGACCCTGAGACTTGCCAGGGTCAGCCAGTTCTCAAAACTGTAGCAGATACTTGTTTTCGTCAAAGTGTGTCTAGCTGAGCATTGTTAGCTGAACCTGGATGGGTTGCCATTTTTTGTGTGACTTTTTGAAGTCCCAGCAGTGGAAGAACATGTGTGGTATTTGCAATTAGTAACTTTTTCTATTTAAGTTCATTCCTGAAATTACAGCAGCAACTACTGCTGCCTGGTCTGATCATTTGTTCTCTATTAGGCCCTCTAGCTGTGGGCAAGAAAGCTGAAATATTTCTCCTTAAAAAAAAAAGAAAAGCAAAGCTCTTTAAAGGTTTGGCCAGGTTCCTTGAAAAACAACTGAGACTCCCTAAGTAGCAGTTGGAGAGAAAACAGATAATTTACTCTCTCTACCCAAAATTCAGTTTTCTTTTTCATTCTACTGGCATAAAAATAGAGAGGCTAAAATTAGCTAATAACTCTTAAAATTATTTCAATGCTGATGCTTAAATTATGGTACTCCCAATATTGTAGAGTTTTATCCTTTTTTTGTTGAAGCGCAGTTGGAAGATATATTTTTTTTCTGGGAGTCACTCCTCTCCTTATGTAAAAATATAATTTTACAAAAATATATTTAAACATCTTTTTGGAATGGGTCTAAAAGAAAAAAAAAGATTGTTGGAAATCAACGTCTCTATTTAATAAAAATTGAGTGCATAATCTACAAAGTACTTAAAACAAGTCCTTTAACCATCTAAGAGACTTCAGCCACGGAGGGAAAGGATTGGTAATTTGAGCAATGATTAATTTCCAGAAAGTAAGTAAAGGAAAGGAAACCAACAATACCATATAGCAAGGTGGTTTTAAAACAGTTTTAAATATTCAAAGTGACTCACAGTGGAAGCCCCACACTTGAGGAGCTCATCCCTGCCCTCAGGCTGTGCCTGTTCTGGAGAGGAAGGCCTCATTCCAGAGGGGTTTCTCCAATAGAGGAGCATCTCTGTAGGCTTTTTTTTTTTTTTTAAGCCATTTCTGTTTTTATGGAAGCAGGGTATGTATGTGGTTTTAAAGTCAGAAACCTCTTCAGTTTATAAAGAAAGAGAGAACCCTCCTGCCCCATCTCCTCAACCTCTCCCATTCCTCAAAAGCAATTATTTTCAACTCTTCCAAGTTCTAAGTCATGTACTTACTACTGTGGAAGTGTTTAGCACAATTATATGAGCAGCAGCACACTCATGGTGTGTAAGCACAAGTGCAAACATACCTCCCTTCCCCCCATCTCCAGCAGACTTTCATTCCTTCCACCTTCCCTGGACGTCCCCAGGTCCAGAGCTCCTGCGTTCCGTGTGTGCTGAGAGGAAACCCCTGTCTTCTGAGGCGGTGACTCTTCCCATCGGTTCAGTCTAGGGAAGGGGCTCGGAGGGGCGGGGGGAGCAGCGCTCACTACCCTTGTAGAGACTTGCAGTTAGTCCTCCTGTGTTTCAGCTGTGTCGTCCTCGCTGGCGTTTTGAAGTTTCTCTCAACTTTCCAAGGTTCTCAGCACGACTCACCTCAGTTTTTTGTTGTGTCCTCCCTGAAGGTTTAGGCTTCAGCTTCCCCTGCTACATCAGTTACTCTAACGTTTATTTTTTATTGTCCCAGTTTTCGTGGAGTTTTGCCTGGAGACAAAACTTGTTATCCTACTCGTGACATTAAAAGAGGAGATAAAAGTGTGAATCCATTGTTGGAGTTCAGGACGCACTACCCCAAAATAAGGCACCTTGGCATATTGAATATCTTAAGCCGTAGGAGTTTGAGAAAAGAGCAGAAGCAGAGATCACTGCCCCTCTCCCTCCCTGGCCCTTCTTTTCTGAAAGCAGGAGTGAATCTCCCACGTGAAAGATGCCTTCCTTGTACCAGGAGGAAGGGAGACATTTTTATCCCTAGAGATGGGGAGTTTAGGGCCTGGAAGGCTGTGTTAACAGACTGTTAGTTTTTCCCCATTTACTACCCATAGCGTACACTCCTTTGTATTGTTAATTCTTCACAAATTTATTCCTTTGTCTGAAATTTATAGAAGCTTCCTGCTCTAGTCACTTTTTCAGATCTTTATTCTCTTGTGAAGGCTCCCAGATATATTTAAAAGCTTAATAAGCTTGTATGGTTTTTTTTCCTGTTACTCTGTCAGTTTAATCTTCAGACTTAGCCAGGGACCCTAAGAGGGTCAAGGAAAAGTTTTTCCTTCCTTACAGCAACCACTGTGTTTAACCAGAACCAGGCTACCTTCTCACTGTGCAGAGCTGTCAAATAGGTTTATATGAGTAAGACTAAACTAGCTTAGAAAATGACACAGCTGGTGCTGGTGGTCATTTGGGGTTTTATGTCTGTCTAGTGACGCTAGTATGAAATAGTTTTGACCGCATTATAAGTAGTTAAAGGCTGGTACTATGCCTTTGAACTTAGATTATAAAAACGGGACTGCCTCGGAGTGGAAAATGCTGATTGAGTTGCCTGGAGGAGTGAGACAGATGTGTGGAAGAAAGAAGTTCTCGTAGAACCTGTGACATGGTAAAAGTAAATGGAGAAGCAGCATAAATATGTTTGCTCGAGGGAGAGAAGCAGATCCAGTAGGAAGCACGAGGCAGGTGGGCCCGCTGGAATTGTTTCCAGCTTCCACAGAGGTGTGCACGTAATCCTGGAGGATTTCTTTTCCCCTCCCGTAAAACTGCAGTTGAATGATTGGTTCATGTTATACTTTATGTGTCTTAAAAGTAAAGAAATAGGGTTCTTTGCAAGTTTTATCTATGATCGGAGAATTTACCCTAATTTCCTTTATCCAAGATTAACTCTGTCTGCTATAAATTCACCTTAATTCCACAAACATTTACTAAGTGTTTGCTCTGGGGTGGGGTAGAGGGGAAAGTGAAGACGGACTAAATTCAGTTCCCATCATCCAGGAATTTATAACTTTTAACTTACAATCTAGGAGCAAAAAGAAAGGTCTATTGTGACATGGGAGGGACTTAGGAAAGGCCCTGACATTGATGTCAGACAGACTTAGATTGAGAAGCTGCATTTAACATGTACACCAGTTAGTGGGTAATTGAGTGTAAGTGGGAATACTTGGAGGGTTGCGGTATGATACGAGACTAGCCTGTCAATTTAAGGAGTTTTTTAACTTCACTCAGTAGGAAGTGGGAATCATCACACATTGTGAGCTAGAAAGATCTGACCCTTGAAAGGGAGAAAACTCAAGAGGCTGAGATAAGACTGCTGAGGCCTCTGTTGAAATAGTAGTAGAGATAATAGAAGCTGTGACAGTAACCACGGTGATGAAGGCTGCCCCACAGGGGCTCGAAAATTGTCCACCCCTGTGGGCTGCTGGGAAGGCTGAAAGCACAGGGTGAGCTAGGCCTTGAAGGGTGAGTTGGAGTCAAAACATATCAACTCTGTTGTGAATCTGAACTTTAAATTAGTTTTATACCACAACATACCTCAGTGTTGATGTGACAAAAAAGCAAGCAACCATTATTTAACCTTGATTTCAAGCAAGCAGAAGCTGATTAAGCAAAGTAAAATCTTGTTACCTCATACTTGGTTCTTTCATGTATAAAATTAAGGCTTGTTCTCTGTCTTCGAGTTTAAGGGTTAGCATGTCAGGAATTAATTAAGCCCTGTAGTCATATGAGATTAAAAAAAAATACAGTCATATGAGATATGGAAAGTGGACCTGAAATGAGGACAAGAGAAAGACATTGCCGAAACGAGGACATGGCAGCCTCTAGAAGGATGTAAGGCAAGAAGAAAAGAACTAGCAGATAAACGTAAAGAAATAATGACTCTTAGTATCAGGAAAATGATTTAGAAGAAGGTAAAAGACTCATTTACAGGAAATTAAGTCGGGTAGTAGGCTAAGTTCCTTACCTCAAAATTGAGAAATCAGGAGGAATGATCAAGTTGAAAAGCTGTGCATCTGCTGGCAGGTTAGAGCACGCTGGGAGCACAGCGTACCCCCAGGGGGTACAGATGGTGGATCTCAGCTACAGTGCTTTTACACTGATGCCGATGTTGGGTTTTATAAATTCTGAGTTGAGCTCGTTAATTATTCAACTTGACAATATTCTGTGGTTCTCAGTTCTCACCTGAAAAAGATGTATTGTTTGTTAGTTTAAAAAAAGGAGAAAGAAAACAGTCAGGGTGTAACAAGTCATCTCTGAACTAAATGCCATGGGATAATTTATTAGACTAGCTATTTTGTAAAATCAAAGTGGAAATTAAATGAGTTTATGCTACTTGTCAAAAGTAAAAAAATATACTGTAAAGTTTTTAAGTCCTGTGACTTTATTTTATGTTTTTAACAAAGACTCAAGATCATCTTTCAGAAGGTAACTAATGAGGGAGCAAGGTGAGTACATAATACATTTTCACACAGCTAATCATCTTTATATTATGCAGTTGGCTGGGGAACAGACCAGGGAATTGGTGGATTCGGAGAAGAGCCAGGAATTAAATCTCAGCTAATGAACCTTATTCGATCTGTACGAACCGTGATGAGAGGTAAGAAGAAAAAGTAGTGGAATACTCTTAGGTTTTAATTTTGTGGTTTGATTTAAGTAACAGAGCTTCCAAGTGTGACTGCTGTCACATACCATTTTTGTAACGGGAACTTCTCTTTAACTTGGCTTTACTGCTTAAAATTTCCTGGTTTCTTTCCTAGCTTGCCTCTTCTCTCTGTCTAAGCTGTTTGATGCCCTGTAGTGTAATCTGTTTATATGTTACCTCGCAGTTGAAAGACAGTGGTGTTCTTGCCTTTTGGAAACTATTGCTTCCAAGGAGTAGAGTCATCTAGAGTCTTGTAAGGCTTTCAAGAGAAAAAATAAAGGTCCCATAAGTCCCCTTGCAAATAAGTTTTGGATTTTATGATCCAGTGCATGTTTGAATGTTATAAGGATTTGCAGTGTGATTATGATGACATATTATTAAGTATTTCCATCCTTCCTGGATGCTAGTAACTATGACTTAGTTTTTTTTCTGATACATTCTTTATAATAAAAAACTTTGTTTTTCTTTGCAGTGCCATTGATAATAGTAAACTCAATTGCAATTGTATTACTTTTACTATTTGGGTGAAGATCAATGGGGGAAGTGGAGACTCAGAAGAAGAGCTGTCAGAAGTTACTACTTCAGTCTTTATTGGAATATACATATCTTATTTACCTGGCTGTCCTTGGACTTGACAAAAATCTAAACCTGACAATAAAACCTGCGTCCCTATTTATCTGATTTTTTACATGTTGCACTTACAGTTTCGTTACAAAAAGATCAGATCATCAGAGGCAGTAACTATCCAGGATTGGATACATTTGATTGCTAACTATTAACAAGAGTTCATGCTATGGTAAAGATTGTTTAAAGGGTACAGGACTGTCACTTCTGTGTTTTTAGAGATTTTTCTCTTTCACTTCTCAGGGATGAATTTTTTCTTTCAAAGTTTTGAAGTTCCTTGTGACTTAGCCATGATGTAAGAATGATTGTCCTCCTAGGTAAAATTTAAAGGATTTTTGAAAAGTAATTCCTACATATAAAATGATAAATAGGTAATTTGGATTATTTTATTTTAACTCTTTGGTTAAATACTTTATCTGTATACTGTCTCAGCTATGAAAAATTCAAATTTGTAGTAACTATTGAGGAGCAATACTCTGACTTCAGGGAGATTCCTAATTTTGTAAGTCAGAGAGACACATGATGATTGTGTTTTTATTTTTAAGTTCTTTTCATGTGTTTGTTGTTTTATTAATTGGCCTGAGTGATGAGCCCAGATCAGTATCTACGTATTTCCATTGGTAAAAAAATCTGTGTGGAAAAGTCTATGTCCTTTTAACAATGATGACTTATTTTATAAAATCAGCGTAAAAGCCTGCAAGAGCAATCCTAAACAATCACCACTGAACCATACTGTGTAAGAAGACTTTATTGTCATATGTTTACTCCCCCAAATTATCACGTTTCCATTTCTTGGAGTAGCGCATTGAGGGGTGTGATTTGTAATTCTTCATTCTGTCAGTCAGTAGAACATTCATGGTAGATAAATTGTTTTTTGTTTTGTTTTTATGTCTTAGACCATCCCGTATTTGTTTATCTCATAATACTGTTTTATACAGAAAGATTAAAACTATGTAAATGGTTTTTCTGGAAATTAGTTATAATATGTTAAAGGGGATGGAATGGCATCTTTGTTTACAGGAGAACATTTGTAAATAAAGTTAAATTTCCAACTCAAGCATTTGTTTTTGTACCTTAGTACATACCTGTTGGTGTTAACTGAATTAATCTCATTTTGTGTGTAATACTTCATATATGTGTTCTTTGCTATAAAATCACTGAACACAGATTTAAGGGAAGTAAACATACACATTCCATTTTTTTTTCAATGAATTAACTGAATTGCTGTCATCATCAAGAAGACTCATGTCAACTATTATTCTGTGACTTAAATTCCTTCTGAAACGTTGGAACAGGTATTGGATGCCTGTTGGCCGTGCCTCAGCTGGAGGGGTGGAAGATCCCTGGGCCGTGGGGTCCTTGCAACTGAACCAGAGAACTGTACCGGGAACCCTTAGTTGATTACTTGGCTCATGTGAGTAACGTATTTGGCACTTACAGGCAATGTTCTTTTGGCCTTACAAAGATCTGATGCATGAGTCTGAGTTTAAGCCACTAAGAAGATTTAAAAGAAGAAGTTAATTGAGGGCACTCCCACAGTCCATGAGCCATACAGAATTTTAAAAAGAAAAGAGAGACCTTCGCCTGATATTTTCATGTGAGCCATTACTACACACCTTCACGCTCATTTAGTGTCAGGATACTGTTCATATTCCAGTGGGGAACAGTCCCAGCAGGGCAGCATCAGAGAATTCTGTAGCAAAGCGGTTCTAAGCAGTGAAACATGAACATCGAAATATTTTCTCTCTTGAGACCACTTAGAAAATTCTAGCTTTACTGTGCCTGAAGAGGAGGTCTGTAAGCTTTCACAGGTTAACCATGGTTCCCCCAGTGCAGTTGCAACTCTAACTACAGCATCGTATTTTAGTAGACAGTAACTTAAGTGCCTGCTTGCCTGCCCACATCCTGTCCCTTAGCCATTTCTAGGACTAACAGTTTGTGATCGTTCTGGACTCCAAATACTCATGATGTTAATGGTTTGATGTATTCCGGAACTGTATCTATATGCCTGTCTCCTGTGGTGAAGACTCTATCAGTGTTAACCAGATTAATACCTTAATCCGTAATCAAGTACAGTGGTTTTCAAACTTCGATTGTTAACAGCAGGACCAGATTGTCAAAGGAATAGTGACAACTGTAATGCTCCAATATCTAAAACAGATGAGGCAGGTCAATTTCTTTATTTCAGTTGAATCAGGGATAAGGCCCAAAGACCCACTGTTCAGCCTCCCCCTCACTTTGATCAAGCTTCCTAGAGTGCTTCCACAAAACCCTGAGCCTTTAAAAACATGATTAAATGGTAATTTTTTTAAATCCCTGCTTTATATAGAGTAGGCAAGGTAATCTGTGTTCTATAGGTGTATATAGTGGCATGTGTATATGTGCTTGTGAAATGACTTGAGAAAAAGCAGTATGTTTAAGTACAATAGGCAGGATATTGCTGAAATGCCAACCAGAACCTTCTGTCATGTGACTTAAATAAACTTCCTAACTCCTCCTCAGTTCTTGGATGCTTCATCTGTCAATAACTGTTTCAGAACAGAAGTCAGCTCCAGGTGATAATATGTCTTATCTTTTCCAGGTCACCTTTGATTCTGGATGTACCCCAACCAAAGAGATGTTCTTTTGAAGTAAAATGTTTTTGGTGAAATGAATCATTTTCTTATTGACTTACAAAGTTATTACCAATAATAAAATTGATATCCAGCAAAATGGAGTTCTTTTTTGCTAAAATTTTCCTTGGCCCTTGTTTGGTCATTAGACATCAGGTGTTGTGAAGACATTCTGTGCAAGGACCTGGGACACAGAGTTGGGCAATGTCCATGGGTACTAATGATCAAGATAAATTTTGGACTCCTACCCTTTGTTTCAGTTCTGATACTGTTTTCTTTACATGTCCACTCCTCTGGGGTTTTGCCCCATATTTTTCTTTCCTGAATTCCCCCTTTGAGGTCCCATCCCATCTTTACTCATCTTGCTCTTTGGCAAACAAAGCCATTTGAGTCTTGGTGAGGAGGAAGCCACCAGTCCTATTCCATTATTCCACATCATAGTGAATGGCACCATCAGTTACAGTACCAAATTGCCCAAACCTGGAAACTAGTAATTATCTTGAAGCCTTCCTGTCCCTTACCCTTAATCTAATCTACCACCAATTTCTGACTCTTACCTCCTAAAGACCTCTTGAATTTGTCTTGTTTGCTTTGCTTCCCACATTTTAGTTTAAACATCTCTCTTGTAGCCCTGCAGTAGGTTCCTATCTGGTCTCACAGACACTTAGGCACCTCTCCCATCTATCCTTCACATTGCAGCCAGAGTAAGCATTTAGAAAAATGCATGTATTAATGTTAATACATGCTTAAAATCCTTCAGTGGTATTTTAATCATGTCAAAGACGTGACTCCTAGTTCTGAAGTGGAAACTAGAAACAGGTTCCTTTTCCTTCAGCCAAATAGGCCCTCACACAGAAAACTTAGACTTAAACATAAAACGAAACCTCCAGACCCAGTGAGGAGGAAAACCAGAGGGTCTCTAGTCCAGGGGACAGAAAGGGTTATAGCTTACAACATGGCTGACTGCAGCAATGGGCAGAGGGGGTGTTGGTGTTCTAGCAGCATTTAAATCCCCAGTCAAGGGCGAGCAGCAGTTTTGTCAAAGGGTTCCCTATGTGTAAACCAGAATATGTATTTTGTTATGTCAGACTGCTCCTGAGGCTTTTCATTTAGTCATTTTCATAGAGAGTGCATAAGATGACCATTTCTGCACTCAAGGGGTTTAACTTGTTTGGACCAATGGGAGACAAGTAGAAATTCCCAAGATGCGTGTGGGAAAGGAGCCGTGAGAGAGGTCGTTCTGTGCGTCCCAAGATATTTCTCTCAGGCAGGCTAGGAAACTTGACAGTGTAAATTTCCTTTCCAGCGGCATAAGGGATAGCTGATGCAGGAAGGGAAGGCTGATGCAGGAAGAGAGGCTGTTGCTGCCAGTGGGGGTGGTTAATAAAACAGCAATAAGTATGCTATTAAAGTAGTAAAGCAGGAAATGATGGCTTCAGAGATTGGGTGTTTCAAGGAAACTACCAAGGACACACTTCTGGGATAGCCCTTAAGAATGAGCGAGAAGTGTAACAGAGAACAAACCTGAACAAACCTGACTCCATATTAGAGCTATTCCTTTATAGCTAACCTTTGTGCTCTGTTGCCTGTGCTTAGTCGTGCAGGCTCTGCAACTTCGTAAAGGAATGTTGCCTATAGCCTGAAATACACATAATGGCCCATTCTCAAGGCTCTGCCTCCCAGGCTTGACTTTTAAAGATACAACATTTCATTCATATATAGATAAAAAGTTAAGAGAACAGAAAATAACACTTGTCTCGTTGGAGGAACATTCTTACAGGACCGTCATGACCAGACCTATGTAGACAGGTGAAAGAACAGAGGATCATCACATCCATTTCAGGGTCTGGCCAGCACGGAAAAGTCTGCAACAACCAGCCACAACCTAACCGTAACCCTTTCTCTGTAAAATAAGTCTGAATTATAACTCAAGTAAGATGGTTCTTTGGGACACCAGTCCACTCTCTTCTCCATTTGCTGGTTTTCCAGATAAAATCTATCTAATCCTCGCCCCAACACCTGTCTCTGGCTTGTCCTGAGGCAAGAAATACAAACTTGGACTTGATAAAACAAGTGATGGAATGAGGGCGGATGGCAGCAAAGAAAGTTGATAATAACAGTTTAGCAACACTGTTGTGGAATGACAAACAGCTGCCGAGCAAAGGCAGAAGCTTTTGTTTTCCCTCCTGCATCTAGGCCCAGTAGGCCCCGCCCTCGAGGGAGCCGGTTTTAAGAAAAGTTTATTCTCCTCAAGGATGGTGAAGGAGTAGCAGCTGACCAAGTAGTGAGAGTCCTAAACCCGGAAGAACTCTGGGCGGGTGGGGCGGAGACGGGAGCGGGGAGGCGGGACTTCCGGTGCGGGCCGGGCCATTTCCGGCGTCATCAGGCAGCTTCCCAGGCTCCCTGGACTCGCGGCAAGGACGCCGCGGAGGGCGCGGCTTTGCTGACTGACTTCCCTGCTAGCGGGGCCTTTGCTGAGGACGGCGTGCGGAGTCGGGGTGAGGAGCGGCTCCGAGGCAGGGGAGCGCCCGCCTGTCTGGAGGCTGCATTCCTTTGTGAGCAGGCTGGGGACATACCCGTTGTATCTCTAGGCCACCACCCTCCTGGGGCCTGGACCAACCCGCGCGCTCGCTCCGCGAGGACTCACACCCCTCTCGGCGGGGGTGGCCCCTCGGCCGCGGCGCTACCGCGCGTGCGCGGAGCGGGGTCGGAGGCGCTTGCTACCGCGCGTGCGCGGAGCGGGGTCGGAGGCGCTTCTGCGGGGCGGAGGATGCGCGGGTCTTCTTGTAGCCCAGGGGCAGGTGGCAGCTGCGCTGCGTTAGTTCTTCCTGGGGACGTTCCTCTGGGCTGTATTTCTTAGCTGGCGTCCCTTCTGAGCAGCCGGGCTTTTGCCGGGCGTTGGAACTTGCGCAGGGGCAGAGTGCGGGACCTGTCCTGAGGTCCCTGCACACTCAGGAGAAGGAGTGGGTCGCAATTCGGTTAGTTTGTGGACGCCTTCCAGTTACAGAGACTGGAATTCAAAAATTGAGTTAATTCAGAAGTCTTTATTGAGCGATCAGTAGTACAGGTAACACAGCCTCTTTCCTCACAGAGCTCCGCAGAGTGGGCAGAGTGATGAGTGATGGGGGATCCTGGCCCAGCCCTGGAAGGAAGGGAGTTGGACTCAGGAATGCCAAGGAAATGATACTTGTCTGAGAACCACGGACTGAAGGCGTTGACCGGGGAAAGGGAGGATGTAGGGGGCCGGCGGGGTAGAATTTAGGGAGCAAAAATGATTTCAGATAACAGTCCAGCGATGTTGGAGGTGAAGTGTAGATGGGACTTGTGGGCGACTGCAGTGCCATTGAACTTTGGTGCAGGAGTGGAGACAAATGATTTGGAGAGGGGTTCTGGGCAGCAGTGTTCATTGTTCGTAATTTATCCTGGGGGCATTGGGGAGTGACTGCACAATAACTATTTATTAAGTGTTTGCAGTGGTTCCAGACTTTCTCACTGGAATCATGGGGAAGAAAAGAGAATTTGTGCTCTCCAAGGAGTTTAAGAGACGTGCTCTGAAGAGCCCTAACCTAGGAGAAATTTTTATTGAACTCTTTTTAAAATATTTTAAAATATTTTAAAATATTTATGCAAGTTTTTTATTTTATGCCACAGTATATCCTTATTTTGGTATAAGATGTTTTCTCAAATCCCAGTTACACTGATGCCTTAGGGTACTGCATCATATTTATCCGGTGATTTTTGTAACCCTTGACATCATATAGCCCCCCAGCTCCCAGTACATACATAACCCAAACCCAGCATCTCTGTGTGTGGAACACTGGTCACAGCACTTTACATAATTTACTTCCTTTAATCCTCTAATCAGCCATTATAGATGAGTGTTATTCTTTCTACTTTAGAAATGAAGAAACTAGGCTGAGAGTTTAAGAAATTTGCCCAAGTTCACACAGCTAGTGAGTCTAGGTTTAAGTCCAGTCACGTACAACTCCTCAGTTCTTGTACTTAACCACTGTGCATTGTTGCATTTCAGGGAACAGATTTGAGGCTAAAAATAGGGAGAAGATTGAAAGCAGAGAGGACATTTGGGAGGTGTTTAAATAGGCTAGGTGAGATGATGATTTCAGTACTAAGATGGTGTTAGTAATGCAGAGAAGTGAGTGGATTCAAGATGGTACCGGAGCTAGCACGTGATTGGACCCTTGACTGGATGCAAGGAAGGAGAGGAAGAGGCTGGTGGGTACGTCTGTGTTGATGGTGCTGCCATTCACTCATACAGATCGCAGGATGAAGAGCAGCTTTGAGGGTCACAAGAACTTGTTGGATTGAGATGCCCCTGGGATATTCAAGGAGACATGTCCTCTGAAGTATCTTGAAGAGTTCCTTTGGGAAGGAGAGAGAATTTACTATGTTCTTTGCATTGAATATGTGCCAATATCAATTGTTTATGACTCTATGTATATCCCACATAAGTTGTTCAAGCCATGGGAGATGGTAGGACATGGACTCAGTATAAACACACACGGACTGCCTCTGAAGCCTTCGCAGTTCTACTAGGGGGTGATACTAATATTTTACAATTATAGTTTATCAGCTGCTAACTTGTAGTTCAGGTAACAAGTGCTATTAAAGATTCAGACTAGAAAAGAGATCATGGTCGAAGTGGTGAAGGCCTGCAGCGGGGCTAACTGAAGAAGTATCTTTTGAGGTTTGAGGGGGCACCTCAATTATATTCTCCTAGGCCTCAATTAATCATTTTCAGGTATGCTCCAGAAGAGCATTTTAGAGTTTAAAAGTGTGTTCTGTGGAACTAATGAAAGCAAAAATAAAGGCTTTTTAAATGCTTTGGTAATATTAACCCTATATGGACACTTCAGTGAAGGTTAGAATTATCAGTATTGTTTATGACCATTCACTGGTTCTAATTGGACAGTTTTGGTTTTTTTAAACAGTACAATTCTTTTGTTGTTTTTCCAGTCTTGTTTATATTTTGTTCTTTAATCACCTCAGGCAAATTTTTTATTGATTAGATGTCTTATAAAAGTTAAGTTTTGAGTGAAGCAATTTTAGGTTCCGCGATATGTAAAAAGAGAATGCTTTGTCTACATTTTGCATAGCCTTACCTTTTGTGGCACAGTGTGTTTAAAATTAAAGACTCCTTTAATCGCCACACATCTGCATGGAGCTGCTAGGAACAGTGTAGTCTTTTGATTAACAAACTGCCCTCTCAGGCGGGTAGTGGTTGGTGCTCCTGTTGATAAAGTACTCCATTTCAAGGTCACAATAAAGATCTGAAATAGAATACCATATGAGAACTGTTACAAAAGAGAGAATTCTGTAGCGGAATCTTTAACCAGGACTCTTAATATATTTTTTTTTTTGACTCTACTCTTCCACCCCCACCACCCTCCTCCACCCCTCCCCCCAGCAGATACATTATGAAAGACAAACAGAACTAGGGATTTATTTTAAAATCAAAATACTTGATTAGGGTTATTATACTGACGTATAATGATTGGACTAATTTAATTTTTTATAACTATATTAAATATATGAGAAATGACTGACTAAAACATAACGACTAATTTTTACTGTGAAATATGTCATCTACACAACAGTATGTAAAATGTGTATGAAAGTTTTAAATAATTATTATAAAATAAAAAACACCCATGTACTCACCATCTAGGTCAAGAAGACGTTAGAGGCGTCCCTGTGCTCCTGGTTTGCATCGCCTCCCTGCCCCCGGAGGAGTCACTAGCCTCGCTCTCGTGATAATCATTCCCTTGCCCCTCTTTGCAGCTTGATCACCTGTGTGTGCATCCCTGTTCCTAAGTGCTGCAATATGAAACCACGTGGTGTGTGTGCTTTTGTGACTTGCTTTTTTGACTCTGTAGTAGATTTTGGAGGGTTATCTAGGATGTGTGTAACTGTAGCTCGTTCATTTCCACTGCCTTTTATATTCTGTGTATGAATATACCACAGTGTAATTGTCCATTCTGCTGTCCGTTGATAGACATTTGTATTGTTTCCAGTTCCTGGCTGTTACAAACAGTGCTGCTGTGGATGTTTTTGTTCATGTCTGACAGTACAGTATGAAAGACTCTCTAAAGGCTGTGGTGCCTGGGAGTGGAACTGCTGGATGGTAGAGTATGGGGATTCCAAACTGATTTCCAAAAGGATTGTAGTGGTTTATTCTCCCACTAGCAGTAAATGGGAGTTGCTTTTGAAAACCTTTGATATTTTCTGACTTTTTTCCTTCCAATTCTTACACCTTTTTCTTGCCCTGCTGCACTAGCTGAAGCATCACTTGCAGTGTTAAATAGAAATGGTGAAAGTAACATCCTTGTGTTACTCCCTCAGTGCTTTCAGTGTATTACGAAGTGATATCACAGTATAAAATATAAGTTGTATACTGATAAATAAATACCAGTATATTACTGTTAAGTCTAATGTTGGCTGTAGGCTTTTTACAGATACTCTTTTATCAGCTTAAAGAAGTTCCCTTCCATTTTTATGTTGTTTGGAGTATTCTAGGGCAGGGAGATGCTGAATTTTATCAAATGCTTTTCTGCTTGAATGGATTGACATGATCATAATATCATTTTCTTTAACCTATTAAATACTTAATTATTAATTACTTTTTAAATCTATTAGTATGGTAAATAACATTAATTGGTTTTCTAATTTAAAACAGCTTGGTAGTACTGAGGTAACTCCAACATGGTCATGGATTTTTTTTAATATATCACTAGATTGACAGTTGTTTTTTCACCACATTGAAAATATTACTCTGACGTGTTGTGGCTGTCATTGTTACTGCTGTGCAGTCAGCTCGCAGTCTAACCGTTGTTCCTTTGAAAGTAATCTGGTTTCCCTCAGCTGTTTTCAGGTTTTTCTCTGCCTTAGTGTACAGCCAGGGTGTAGGTGTGGACTTGTCTTTATCTTGCTCAGAATTCTTTGAACTTTCTGATTCTGTACATTGGGAGTCTTTCGTGTTTTCTGCATACTTTTTGTATCTTTTATACTTTAAACAGGCATTTTACAGTAGTCTGGTGATTCCATTATCAGGAGCCTTTACAGGCCTGCTTCCTGCACTATTGTTTCTGCAGGATCTCTCTTACAGCACCTGGTTTCTTTAGATTACTTGCTCGTTGTGCTTAGAATTTTATTTGATCTTATTTGTGGGATTTCTTTGCTGTTTGGACTGAAACTAATACCTTGGGGATGGTTTATGTTTGCTTCAGCCAGGCACCTGGTAACCAAGGTCACTCTGATTAACATTTTGAAGTTCGTCTGAGGACTTATCTTACACAATGTGAACTTAGTTTGCATCGTGGGTCCAGGGCTGGCTTACAGTTCTGAATTTGCTAAGGTGCTTCCTTCCTTCCACCCCTTCGGCCAAGTTTGAAAGCAGTTGATCTTGTAATGAACTGAGACGAAGTGGGCTGCGGTGCCGGCAGTGGGCTTATTTCTGGTTCGTTCTTACAGTGAAGTCTCCGCTTTTAGGTTGGGAGAGTCTGTTTCCTCATGTAGGCCCTGAATTCTATCTTATTCCCTGAAGGGGCCAAGGAGGCGGCAGGGGAGAACCTCAGCCATCACCTAGTGTGGCAGATGCTCGTGGGACCAAAACAGGCTGCAGTGGGCTACTCAGCTCCCAGCTTCTTGCTTTTACTGAGATCTAAGAATTCCTTATTTTCTTCTCTGCCCCTGGAAGATATAAATATATATTTATTAATTTAGTATTGCTAGGGTACCTTTGGAGAGTTAATTTGATTATAAAAACTAAAAATGAAGTCCCATCCTTTTCTTTTTTGGCTTCTGTATTGTTCTTACCCACTCCCTTATTGTCTTTAAATCATACATATACCTTATACTCCACTGTATATGTGATACAGCTCATAGTAAACTTATTTTAAAAGGAAAATGTGCCAAAGGGAAGTTGGACATTCTAAGGTAAGGAAAATGTCTCCTGACCAAAATTACTGTGTAACTTGAAATTTCCTCCTTGTGACCTATATAATTCCTGGTAGCCCTTGAGCCACACCTGCCACTTCAGGATGTAACAGTGTAGATGGGCGATTAGAACATTTTCATTGTCTGTAACCAAAGATGAAAAAAATTTTGCCATTGGTTTAGGGCTTTCGTCCATCTACCCATTCTTCAGAGTACACTTTCTCAAATTTAAAAATAAATCAATGAGTTGTCCCACCAAGAGTTATTTTAAGAAACCTGAAGTAACATTTCCTTTCCTCTGGTTTTAATTTAAGACTTTAAAAACAAACAAAAGAAAGACACTAACCATTATAAACGTTTTATGGAATAAATTTGGATTTTTTTATTTTTAAAGCACATTTTTTTTCTAAGAGAGAAATAGCTTAACACTAAGCAGTATCTTTCTAGCTCTGAATGATATTTTGAAGACTTCCCAGTTTTTAATTGTCCATTGTTTCCTAAACTGTGTTTTTAATTTCATTTGCTCTCTCCTAGGGAATGAAGGATGGCAGCACGCCGTGCGTTAAAAGCTGTTTTGGTAGATCTCAATGGCACACTTCACATTGAAGATGCAGCTGTGCCAGGCGCACAGGAAGCTCTTAAAAGGCAAGCTATCCTCCAGGTTCAGCTGACAAATATGTTTGTAAGTGCCATTTTACCAAGGCAGATCATTAGCTGAATGGCTGGCCTGAAGATGGCATTTTACCAGTTTACCATGTACACGGGAGCTGCCTTGGGCTTTCCTGGAAGATGTGTGCGTTGTTACATCTTCCAGACATTGTTGTCCCAGCCTTCATTAGGTTTGGCTTTTCGGTCTTGGCTTTTTGTTCTTTATATGTGTGTCTTTTTCTAAGTCAGTAATGTAAATTTGGGAATGAAAACTCAAGATTCTAAAATGTGGAATAAATAAGCATTGGAAAAATCACAAATGACTCCTGGAATCACACAAAATGAAACGCACACATGCACAAAGGCAGTTCTGCCTGCTCCTCCTTCACCTAAGATCTAGCATTGAGTGCACAGCTGCTCAGATAAAATTTAATTAAGGGACTTGAAATTTTAGAATTATTTCCATTAAGTAAATTGAATGCTTTCAAAAGTTTGAGACTGTCATATTTCTGATGCCCTGCTTACCACAAGTCTGGATACGAACCAGGGATACATAGTAAAAGCTTGTTACAGTGAGCTGAATGTGAATGTTTATTTCTGAATATCCTGAAAGAAAAAAATACCCCTCAGTACAACAGAACTAATAATGTCATTAAGCACCTCATCCTAAAATAATTCAGAGGGTTTTTCAAAATCAGCAATACCTAGCATGTGGTGCTTTATCATTTTCAGACCTTTAAGTATTCATAGTATGCTGTCATTCAGGAAGCCTAGTGACTAGTGTCACGGTGCCAGGTGTTAGGGTAAGGGATCAGTCCAGACTTTGTGCTTGCTCAAGGAGCTTACTCTCCAGTTGGGGCATCAACAAGTATGAAGAGATTTGTAGGTCTGCTAGCCCTCAGTGGGAAGCTGCCAGTTTAGCTGGAGTTCTTATCATTTCTTAGGTGGACACCATGTGGTTTAAAGCCAGAAGAAAGTCAGCTGGAGAGCTGGACTTCTGGCTGTGGTCTGCCTCTCTCAGGCTTTCTGGGGGAAAGGATGTCTGTTGATCTGTCTGCTGTCCCATTGGACAAGAGTTTCTGCTAGTTTGAAGATGCACTTTCTACTCTGGATCAAAAGAAAAATCTTGAGTGACATCTCTGAGTACCTGTATAAGCCGCGAGCCTGCCATTCTGGAGGTGCAGGAGCCTACAGAGTGTTCTTTCACTGGCCCCGGCGGGTTTCCATCCCAGAGAGTTCACTGTACTGTCCCTGCCAGTTTTGGTTTCTGTAGAAACAAACAGACTAAGGGAAGTTGATGGACTAGTAAAAAGAAAAGTTTTTTTAAATCCTCGTTAAAAATATGATTTCAGTACTTAACACTTGTTCATTTTTAGGTTAATAGTTACATTGAAGTGATCAATTTCTTTTGAGAGATAAACCACCAAATTTAATGTTTTTCAGAAAAGCTACCATACATATTACAGAGATAATCAGGATTATAGTGAACTATGTAATCATATAAATTTATTTAACGCTCTTTGAGTGAATACTTAAAAAATCTCTTTTCTAGTTTATTTGCTTGCTTATTTTAAATTGTGGCTAGTGCTTTCATGCCTTGTGTCCATCTGGGGCAGGCATAAAATAAAAAGCAACAGGGTATTAATATAAAATTTTTTTAATTGTAGCTAAATTGCGATTATTTTTAGATTAAAAATCTCTGGACCAAGAAAATATTTTTTGTTTTGAAAGAAAGCTAGACTATCATGAATTCTTTCTCTGATTGCCAGTTTAGGTTCCAAAAGCAGATTATGGACTCAGAACAATCCTATGTGTAAGTAGTTAAAGAAAAAACACATTTCAGTCTGTAAAAATGGAATGTTTCTTTGAGCTCTCCAGGTGGTTTTACAGACTTAGTAGCACATTAGGATTTAGCCAGTGTCTTAATTGGCTAAGAAGAAGGAAGAACTCCTCAGGTGCCCCCTGTTCTCTTAGTTAGGGAGTCAGACCCTGTCCGGACACAGGTTGGGGTTCTTGTCTCAGTCCTACCACTGCTGCCCAGCTGTAGAAAGCTGAGCCCAGCCATCAGGCCTGAGTTTTCTCATCTTCAGGAAGAGAAGGTTACACTGGTAGACAATCCCTAAGGTACCTTTTGCCTCTCATGTTCTGTGACTGCGGTGGTTACTAAGCTTTGGTTTTGTTTTTTGTTTTTGGGTTTTTTTGGTTCCACTTTTTTACTAAAACCCTGCAGTAAAATTCAGTTAAAGTATAGAAGGCCCTTGAAAAGGTAGACTTTACAAGCCTTCGGAGATGCAGTGTCCTACAAAGTGTGGACAATTTGTAAGCAATTCTGGGTAGATTATAAACCTGTTGGCCATAAAAACACCTAAACTTGGTGACTTATCCTTCACTTTCTGACCTTTGGCAAGTGTTTCGAAATCAGGAGGTTTTATGGGGGCTAGAATGTAAAAGCTGCCTACTGACACCTGGACTTTACTTTTGCAGATTACGTGCCACTTCTGTAGTGGTTAAGTTTGTGACCAATACAACCAAAGAGAGCAAGCAAGACCTAATGGAAAGATTGAAAAAATTGGAGTTTGATATCTCTGAAGATGAAATATTCACTTCTCTGACTGCAGCCAGAAATTTGGTAGAGCAGAAACAAGTCCGACCTATGCTGCTGGTTGATGATCGGGCCCTACCTGATTTTAAAGGTGGGGGCAATTTGGAAAGATTTAAAAATTGGTTCTTAAAACTAGATGTTTAAAAGTGTTTATTCAGATTTCTTCATATTATCATTGAAAGGTCTGCCGACCTTATTGTAATAACAAAAAATTGAAAACGACCCAAATGTTTATTGGAAGAGACTAAAACTGTGATAACCCACAAAATGGAATGCTTTGTAGCTGAAACATAAGTGGTGAATTCTGTCTCCTGATAGAGAGTGATCTTCACAGGATATTAAGTGAAAAAAGTAAGGAAACTTTATGCATTTTCTGTGGAGGAAAATGGATATATATGTATTTGTCTTATGAAGGGAAACTGAAGGAGGATAAATGAAAAACTAATGAACACAGTTGTCTAAAGGGGAAGAGTGGCTCCGGCAAAGAAACAAAAGTCCGTCCTGCCCCTGGGGCCCCTAGATTAGGCATTCAGAGATTTTTACTAATTTTACCTAATAGGCAGGGTCGACACCCCTACTCAGCCTGGAAGTAGTTTCAGAAGATGACCATCGCCCCTCTGCAACCCCATAAGATTATGGGAGTAAAATCTCTGAGAGGGGAATGAGACAGGAGGGAAGGGGGCACAGCACAGCCATTCAAGAAACAACACAACAGTCAACATCAGGATGGCTGAGAATTCAACCCCCAGTTGGCCTTGGGGCTCAAGATGGTGGGAGATTTGGCTTCTGGTAGAACTTGAGCTTCATTACATGACTATTGTAATATATTAGTATGGTGAATAACATGCCTACAGGCACCATGGCAGTCCCAAGGCTAGCCACAGAAGA